AGTGTACCAGGTTGGTAAAACTGCTTAAAGATGCACATTTGAGTTCCAAATGCTGCTGCCTTATTTGTTTATATTATTTTAGTAAGTTTATCTTCTTCCCTTCCTCCCCAAATAGCCCAGGGCACAGCAGGCTGCTGTACGTTTTAAAAACAAAAAAGAAGCAAAAGCATTCTAAAATGGATCAAAACCTTAAAAACCACACAAAAAAACCACAATTACTATTAAAAAACCCCCCAAAAAGCAATTACCATAAAAACAATGCTTCCATCCAGTGATCTTGAGGTTGCCAGGAACAGTATTCTCCAGCCACCAAATGCAACTGGGTGAGGAAGAATGTTTCCAAATTCCTCCTGAAAGTAAAAAATGATGGAGCCATGTGCGCCAGGGAAGGCATTTGCCAAGTGCAGAACCACATCTGGAAAGACCTTGCCATGGCTTAGTGCCAACTGGGCAGCCACCAGTGGAAGCACCATGAACGAGGCCTCACCTGCTGGTTGTAGGGACCAAAATGATTGGTTTATGGTTAATCCTAATAATATACTTTCAAAAAAATAATAATCCAAATCTCAGTTGCCCTTGCAGTACTGAGAATAAACATGACTGCCCATCCTAAGAGAGATGTGTTTTGATTTCCACCTGGTGCTGTGCTTTTTATTGTCAGGTACAAGCTGAGGTGCCGGGATCCCCCATCTTTGTGATGCGCCTTGCCAAACAGTCCCGCCACCTGGAAGTCCAGATCCTCGCAGACCAGTACGGCAATGCCATCTCCCTTTTCGGCCGTGACTGTTCAGTCCAGCGTCGACACCAGAAAATCATCGAGGAGGCTCCCGCGTCGATTGCCACGTTGGCCGTCTTTGAACACATGGAACAGGTGAGTACGCTTCAGAGGCACCTGGCTTTTTCTGGCGAGAGAGCTACTTGTCCCATGGCAAAACAGCTGTCATAAAAGCAGAAGGGCATTTTAGGAGAGCCTTGCTGGGTCAGACCAAAAAGACCCTTCCTAGTCCAGCATCCTGCTTCTGACATTGGACTTCTGGGAAGCCTACAAGCTGGACAGGGGTGCAACAGCACTCTCCCCATTCCTATTCCCCAACATTGAGTACTTCGAGGTAGACTGCCTCTGGCTCTGGAGGTGGCATCATAACTTGTAACTGCTGCCTTATCCTTTATGGATTTGTCAAATCCCCCTTGAAAGCAGTTCGAATTTGTGGCCACCACCCCGTCTTGTGGGAGCAAATGCCAGAGTTTAACTATGCAGCATGTAACAAAGTCTTTCCATTTCTCTGTTTTGAATGAACATTCAGCTTCATTAGTTGCCCCTAAGGTCAGGAAAGGCCACTTTCTCCAACCATGCATAATTCTATAACCAGGGCCAGCTGGTTATTTGTATGGCTGGATAAGCTACAGAAAGATAGGAAGAGAGCCTGCTGCTTTGCATGCAGAAGGTCCCAGGTTCAATCCCAGCATCTCCAAATAGGGCCTGGGCAATTTCCCTGTCTGAAATCCTGGACAGACACTGCCAGTCAGTGCTGACAGTACTGAGCTAGATAAACCAAAGGTCTGACTCCATAGAAGGCAGTTTCCTATGTTCTACATTATCTTGACTAGTGATCAAATTGGCAGTGGCTGTTGTGGCTGAGCAGTTAGGAAACTGCTCTCTGGAGCTTTCCATGTGGGTTCAAGTCCAGGGAGTGTTTCCTCCAAGGTCTCTTGCAACTCTACAGTTTCATAATTCCTAAAGGCCAATGTCCCTTAGAAGTAAACAAATCTCCTCTCTGGCTCTCAAATTGTGCAAATAATTTTTTTAAATGGTTTGCATGGATGAATAGGACTTATGCATGTGATCTTGACAGCCAAGCAGGTTCGTATTGGCCTACTCCCTCAAACAGATGCAGAGATTTGGCATTTCCGTTTGATCCTTTTCCTGTCTCTCTCTCTCCCTTTTTAAAGTGTGCGGTGAAACTTGCCAAGATGGTGGGTTATGTGAGTGCTGGCACAGTGGAATACCTTTACAGCCAGGACGGCAGCTTCTACTTCTTGGAACTGAACCCCCGGCTCCAGGTGGAACATCCCTGCACAGAGATGGTGGCCGATGTCAACCTGCCTTCAGCTCAGCTACAGGTGAGTCAGGAGCTCTTGCCATAGGCCGCATCGATTCATTTGTATGCTGCGTTTCCCACAAATAGATCAATGCTCAAAGCAGTCTGCGCGGAAAAACGAGCCGTCCAAACGCAATAATGATATAGAATACAAAAGCATAATGACATGGCAACATCATAACACTAAGGGCAGTGGGGGCGACGGGGACATAGTGCTATGTATTGCAACATTGACCAGAATGTAGATGCAAAGTCATGGAAAAATAACCATAAACCCTGCAAATGGATATGTTTTAAGAAGATATAGGAGCAATTAAGTGTTAACAGCCATGTTTAAAGGAGAGAGAGATTCTGAAAAGTCATCAGAATATTTTGTAAAAGCGAGAATTGGGAATTTCTTGGCACATGTATTTATGATATTTCCCATCTTGGGGAGAGCAAGTTTTAATGAAGAATAATAATGAGCCAGACACCATTCGCATTATCCATTCTTTTTATTACTAAGTATTCAGGCTACATAAATTTATATGCATTTTTTCCTAAAAGCAAATTCTATTGTAAATTTTAAGGCATGTTTTTCACATGTAATGTTTTGATACTCGTACACTATATTAATTAAATAGAATAAATTATTTTTAAAAACACACTAAAAACCAACAATTAACAGTTCATTTAATGCACATCAAAAATGAAATGAGCATAAAGCTCACTGATATGCCAGGAAAAAATATTATTATTATTATTATTATTATTGATGATGATAATAAAAGATGCTTATCCACCCTTCTTCACAAGGCCCAAGGGTGGCTTACAGTGTAAAAAATACAGTATTAAAATCAGTTAAAGCTATTTACAGTCAGAAGAACTTCCCCTGCCATTTCTTTTAAAAATTTTATTAGTAAACCAAATATAAGGAGCTTAAAGAAATACTCTTATAGCAGGTTAAAGGCAGCAAAAGGTTGGACATTATTACTGAACTTGCTGTCCCAAAAAATTACCAAAAAAACCCCAATATTTCCATATCCTCCAGCATTTTTTAATTCATTAACCCAAGAGTTCACCAATGGGTCATAGAAATATCCAGTAATTTCATGTCTAAAAGCAGCCCCAAAGCTGATGACACTGGTGAACAAATACAGTGGAACCTCAGTTTTTGAGCACCTTGGAAGCTGAATGCTTTGGTTTTTGAATGCTAAAAACCTGGAAGTAATAGCTTCTGTTTTTGAATGTGCCTTGGAAGTTGAACGTCTTACGAGGCGTGTTTCTCCATTTTCTCAATGAGCCTCGGTTGTCGAACGTTTCAGTACCTCCCCACCAAATAGCCTCAGCCTAAAAATACTTCTTCCAAGTTTGTCTGGAAGCAGTTCCTTTAGGAATACAGTGGTACCTCTGGTTACGTACTTAATTCGTTCCGGAGGTCTGTTCTTAACCTGAAACCATTCTTAACCTGAGGTACCACTTTAGCTATTGGAGCCTCCGGCTGCTGCCACGCCGCCGAAGCACGATTTCTCTTCTCATCCTGAGGTAAAGTTCTTAACCCGAGGTACTACTTCCGGGTTAGTGGAGTCTGTAACCCGAAGTGTTTGTAACCCGAAGCGTTTGTAACCCGAGGTACCACTGTAATAATAATAATAATAATAATAATAATGATGTTCCATCTGGATATAATAATATATATTATAATAATGTACCCCGCCCACCCGGCTGAGTTGCCCCAGACACTCTGGGCAGCTACCAACACATATAAAAAGTATTATAAGACAGGCTTCCTCAAACTCTGCCCTCCAGGTGTTTTTGGCCTACAACTCCCATGATCCCTAGCTAGCAGGACCAGTGGTCAGGGATGATGGGAACAGTAGTTTCAAAACATCTGGAGGGTCGAGTTTGAGGAAGCCTGTTATAAGACAACAAACATTAAAAGCTTCCTGATAGAGGAAGACTCTCTGGGCTCAAGGGTGGGGCAAGACAGGTAGAAACAGCCGCCTCCTGGCACATGCAGCATGCCTCCCCCCCCCCTTGCTCTTGTGGAGGGATGCGATGGGTAGCGAAGCCTGGGCCCCGTTTACAAAACTGCTGCGTGAAAGAACCGGTTCTACTGGAGCCGACTGGGGGGGGGGGGGAGGCGGGGAAGTAGGGAAGAAGTCTTCTGAGTCTCCATCCCCCAGTGTCGTAAGAACTGAGTCATGTAATCGCTGCTACAGCTGGGACAAGATTGGAATGGCGATAGCGGAGAAACTTGGTTTTGCAAAAATGTTACCTGGTGAGTCCTAAAAGGGCTGCTCCCTGTCTCTTTGCAAATCCTCAGGTGTGTTTCCCAGTGCGTGGGTTGTATCCAGCTAAGTTCCACTCACGCTCGAATTAACAGCACTAAGCCAGCCATGCTTATTAACTTCACAGGGTCCACTCTGAGCATGGCTTATGTCACCCTGTGTTGGGTTTTCCTTGGAGGGGATGCAGTGCCAAAGCAGCCTCATGTTTAACCACCTAGCCTGATAGACATCTTCCAAGAGTGGGAAACACCTGTAGCTCTCTGGGTGCTGTTGGACTACAACTCCCAACATCCCTGATCTTTTAGTCATGTTGGCTGGGCCTGATGGGAGGTGTAGTCCACTACATCCAGGGTGCCCCAGGTTCCTCATCTCGGATGTTATTATATTTTGCCCCCAACAACCCTGCAAGGTGAGCTAGGTTGAGAGATGACACTTGGCCCAAGACCACCTGTGAGCTTCTCAGCTGGCCAAGGACTCAAACCCTTGCCTCCTTGGCCCATTCTTGTCGCTCCATCTGATTAGTGTATATTTGGAAGTTGGGGGCAGTTTGACCCGGTGGCATAGCTCCAGGCTAAACATTTGGGAAGGGGAGAGATGCTGAATTGGTGGGGTGGGGTGGGGGCCTGTGACTGCGGCTCAGTGGCAGAGCATCTGCTTTGCATGCAGAATGTCCCAGGTTCAATCCCTGACGTCTCCAGGTAAGGCCGGGAATGTCTCTTGCTGAAAGCCTTGGGGGGCTGCTGCCAGTCCGTGTTGACAATACTGAGCTTGGTGAGCCAGTGGTCTGAATCGGTATAAGGCAGCTTCCTATGTTTTTATGTCTGGATGTCGTTAGTAAGCAGGCCATTTCTCTGTTCGTGTTTCTTGGTTTTTGCTATGTACTGAAGTTCTCACCCTGGGCCAGCAGGGGGATACTGTAGATAGTTTTCACTCAGGTCCGCATATGCAAATAGGGGATTGAAAGTGACATTCAGTGATTGGCTAGTTACAGAAAGTTGCTACTGTAGCGTTGTAGTGGAGCTCTATATAAGCAGGCTGGCTGAACCCTTCAGTTCAGTTCTGTTCTGGCCTATGAATAAACAAGAGCTGTTTTGAAGAATCACTGTGTCGTCTGATATGTTCACCCGCACCTTAACAGTTTTCATCTAGTAAACACCTTGACAAAGACATTGGAGAGTGATTGCCAATCAAAGCAGTCAACACTGGGCTGAAAGCAAATGGACTGTTTCTGCAGAGCAGATGTTGCTGAACCTCAACTCCCACCATCCCTGGCTGCTGGCCATGCTTGCTGGGCCTGATGGCAGTTGTAGTTCAGCAGCATCCGAAGGGACAAAGGTTCCCTGCACCCACTGTACAGGATCGTTCCATGCATTGATACTCTGTTGGCTTGCTTCTGCTTGGGGCCGAGGGGAGTTGCAGTCCAAAACATCTGGAGGACGTCAGGTATACAAAGGCTGCTCCGCACTGATCAGCAGTGATTCTTTGGGGTTTTGGACAGGAATCTTTCCCCCTAGTCCTTGGAGATGCTGGGGATTGAACCTGGCACCTTCTGCATGCAAAGCGGATGCTTTGCCACTGAGCCACAGGCGGCTGTTGGAGGGAAGACGATAGTGAGCCAGGTAGACTAAGTATATATGGCAAGCGGCCTATATTTGAATGATGGATCACTTCTTACGTTCATCTGTTTAGTGGCATGCAATTAAATTTGAAAAGTGTCATTATTTCTCCTCTTCTTAGATTGCCATGGGAATTCCCCTCCACAGGATCAAGGATATCCGAATCATGTATGGCGTGTCTCCCTGGGGGGACAGCCCTATTGACTTTGAGAATTCTGCCCATGTGCCTTGTCCAAGGGGTCATGTGATTGCTGCCCGCATCACGAGCGAAAATCCCGATGAGGTGACTGCAAGTTATTTCTTCTTCCTTTTCTTCTTTTCCAAGTTGTGGTTGATAGTGGCATACTGCGTCCTACAATCCCCACGAGTATATTTATAAGACATGTGAAAATTGTTTTAATCTTGATCTGCAGATAACGATGGCCACAGCTGATAGCCACAAATATGTATTAATAAATGACACTTCTAGTCTGCTTTTCCTTTGAAAGAGCAAAAGGCAGTTTTGAAAGCTTTTATTTTTTATTTTATTTCCCCCCATTTAATTTTGCAATATTACATTCAGTTACACTTATCATTCTTCACATTACATAGTGTATCTATATCTATATCTATATCTATCTATATCATCTGTATCTGTATCTATATATCTATATATCTATATATCTATATATCTATATATCAAATATATTTATCTATTTTCCTTATTGCACCATTGTGACTTTCCTCCACCCGTGTTCATCTTCCAATGTTTTCCTTTCCTTTACTATTATGTTAAAATATGCAAGCTTTGCTTTTCCTTCCCTGCTGCCTCCTCCCCCCACCAGTTTATCTTCACAACAACCCTGAGAGGTAGGTAAATTTAAGAGACAGTTTCTGGCCCAAGGGTGTCCAACTACATTGATGAATGAGGATTTGCACCATCTGACAAGTTAAAGTTTCTGCCACTGTAGAGGGTAACCTGACCTCTCCACTAACCTTGTTTAGAAAAGGGTATTCTAGCTCAGAAAACAACGCAGCTCTGTGGTAAGGATGGGGGATGTGCCAACAGTACATTTCAGGTATCGCTCATTTGCTCAAAGACAGTAGGAAAAGCGTATGAGGCTCTCAACATCAAGACACTTATTTTTTTATTATTGTTGTTTATTAAATTTCTATAGCATCCTTCATCTGTAGATCTCCGTTCACAACATAAAATCACAATATAAAAAACACAAAATACATAATAAAAATAAGAACAAAAACAAACCATTTAACCTCCCCTCCCACAACACATTTAAAAGGGCATCAGATGTCAATCAGCCGAAGGCCAGGTGGAAGAGGAATGTTTTCGCCTGGTGCCCTAAGGGTCAGTGTAGTCAGTACTGAGCCAAGTGTGGTGCTGATAACACCAAGGTTGCAGGTTCGATCCCTGTATGCGACAGCTGCATATTCCTGCATTGCAGGGGGTTGGACTGGGTGATCTTCAGGGTCCCTTCCAACTCTACAATTCTATGATTCTTTGACCAATGGGCTACCTCAGATTGAGTCTGGAGAACCAAAGTTTGTGACCACTGTCCCAGAACCGAATGCAGTCCTTCCCAGAATGTAGGGAGGATAATAACTTGCATTTCTGTGTTTCCTTGATCTGTGATTGTAATTGTGTCTCCCCCCGTCCCCCCCGGGAGTTTGTGCATGCTGGTTATTTACATGTGAATTCTCCCTCTTGTAATTCAGGGGTTCAAGCCCAGTTCTGGAACTGTCCAGGAGCTGAACTTCCGCAGCAACAAGAACGTCTGGGGCTATTTCAGTGTCGCCGCTGCCGGAGGACTTCACGAGTTTGCTGACTCACAGTTTGGTCACTGTTTCTCCTGGGGAGAAAACCGCGAGGAAGCCATCTCGTAAGTAGGAAAGACTGCAGCTCATTAATGGGCTGGGCTGGGGGAATACTCCAGGTGTTGGTCTGTGTCTATAGGAATCCTCTGCAATCCACAAGATTGACTGCTATGGAGCAGGCCATACTAACCCTCAATGGATTGCAGAGCATTCTGTTATATTTTTACAGCAAATAAACCCAAACCCATCTTTTAAGTCAAGTCCGGGGACCAATTGGCCCTCCAGATGTTGCCAAACAGTGATTTTCATCTTCTCTGACCCGTGGGGCCACGTTTGCTGGGGCTGATGGGAGTTGTAGTTCAGCAGCCTCTGGAAGGCTCAAGGTTCCCCACACGTGCTTTGCAGGATCTTAAATGACATAGCGTTGTAGCCAGCTCAGTCTTACTCAGAATAAGTAGTCGCTGTAATGAATGGGCCTAAGTTCGTAATGTCTATGGGATGCAAATTGTAAACAGGGAATGGAAGGGAAGAAATAAAATAAGTAATAAAAATGTTATTTTAAAATCATGCAACATCTAGCACAGCACATTACAATTGCTACAACAGGTCTTCAAGATGGTGGTTTTCCTTCAGCTGCACCCCTTTTTCCACCCGTTCAGGAACATGGTCGTGGCCCTGAAAGAGCTTTCCATCCGGGGGGACTTCCGGACCACCGTGGAGTACTTGATTAAGCTCCTGGAAACAGAGAGCTTTCAGCAAAATTGCATTGATACTGGCTGGCTGGACCGGCTGATTGCAGAGAAAGTGCAGGTGTGGCTTGGTTCATTTCCCCCTGGATTCCCCTGCCCCTAAAATTCTGGTTTCAAAAATTAATCTATCCTTAACAACTAGATGCAAGATGCCGTAGCTTTCATCATCAGCTTCCCCCTCTCCTTTGTTTCCCTCGTTTCTTTGTGAGATAACTCTCTAAACCAGACCTGAGAAACCTTTGGCCCTCCAGAGGTAATAGGACTCTGCTTCAGCAGCCTGGGGCGCGTATATATAAAATGTCAACTGGGAGGGAGATTCCCTGTGTCCACCCCTTTTTAAAAAAAAACAAAAACACCCCCAATGTATTGTTATCTGAGATGGATTTCAAATGCTGCCAGGCATTTTGTTAGCCAAAAGAAGAAGGGTGTAAATAACAAGCCAACTTGGATGGCTTTAACAGAAAATTAGATAAATTGGTGGAGGTGGCTACGTTCTGGCTCCACTGTCAGAGGTAGTACGCCGTTGAATTCTACTTGCCTGGAATCGCAGGCGGGCAAAGCTGCTGTTGCCGTCAGGTCCTTCTTGGGGGCTTCTCTTGGGGTCTTCTGGTTGTCCACTGTGAGAAAAGGATACAGTGGTACCTCGGGTTACAGACGCTTCAGGTTACAGACTCCGCTAATCCAGAAATAGTGCTTCAGGTTAAGAACTTTGCTTCAGGATGAGAACAGAAATTGCGTGGCTGTGGCAGCGGGAGGCCCCATTAGCTAAAGTGGTACCTCAGGTTAAGAACAGTTTCAGGTTAAGAACGGACCTCCGGAACAAATTAAGTTCTTAACCTGAGGTACCACTGTACTGAAGTGGATGGGCCCCCTTTGGCCGGATCAAGCTCTTACGTTACGCTCTCATAGAAAACTGCCAGTTAAATCTGGGCTGGCAAACTGTCCGCGTTTATTCCGGCCTCTTTTCCCCTCCCTTTCTTTCTAGGCAGAGAGACCTGACACCATGCTGGGAGTCGTGTGTGGGGCTCTGCACGTGGCTGACGTGGGCTTTCGGAACAGCGTCTCCAATTTCCTGCACTCCTTAGAGAGGTGAGGCAAAGGCCTTTAGGAAGTTTGAAAATGAAACCAGCTTCCAGTTCACAGGGGAGCCGGGGGTTATGCTGGGTTGCGCTCATGACTTGCTTGTGGGCGAAACGGGATGCTGGACTTTGCTGTGATGCCGAAGCATGAGTTTCCCATTTGGACGGGTGGGGTGTGTGTGTGGGCAAAGCAGGGACCCCCATCAGTAGGTGAAGCCAGAGCCAGTGATGGTCAGAGCGAACTAATTCAAGTGGTTCCCCCTCCCCCCGCTGCCAAGTATGCCAGGGATGAGCATTAGTTATACAGTCGTTAATTTCCTTCCCCTCACAATAAACTTTCAGGGGCCAAGTCTTACCTGCTCATACGCTGCTGAACACAGTGGATGTGGAACTTATTTATGAAGGAAAGAAATACGTGCTGAAGGTATGTGCCTCACAGCAGATTGTTAAGAGTGGGATCCCGTGGCCGCCAAGTGCAAAAGGTATATTTTGGTGACAATTCCATGTAAATGCGGAATAGGGGGTTCATTCATTTCTTGTGATTTGCATCCCGTGGACTCGAGAGTGGCTTACAGTAGTTCTTCCTAAAACAGGAAACGGTAACTCTTTACGCTGCAACATTTTATTGCACATCCCATTGAGGGGGAGCAATACCTGTACAGGGACAGTAAACACTGGCTGTATCCACTGATAATTCTGCTCAGTGTAGACCCATGGCACAGGGTAGGGGGTGGGGAATGGACAAGAGTAACAAGGCCTATTAATTTAAATGGGTCTACTCTGAGTAGGACTAAGTTAGATGCTACCCCACTGTCTCTCCCCTCCCCACCCCAAAAAGCCTAAACCAGGTAATGCATAACCAAAGGTTTCACATGAGCTTTGGGAGTCCATATCCATCCCTTGTTCCTCCTGCCTTTACAGGTGACTAGACAGTCTCCAAACTCCTATGTCGTCATCATGAACGGCTCCTGCGTGGAGGTGGATGTTCACCGGCTGAGCGATGGAGGGCTGCTCTTGTCCTACGATGGCAGCAGCTACACCACCTACATGAAAGAGGAAGTGGACAGGTAGCGTCCCATCCCGTCCCCCCCATGAATATTTTAATGGTCACTAGTGATCAACTCTGGGTATACTCCTGTGTTGAAAGCAACAAGCCTCTGCCAAATATTCTGCATTCTTTACAAATTATGCATGCCTAGCAAATTGTAGGGCTTTAAAGGTCAGCACCAACACTCTGAATTGCACTCGTTTTAGAAATAAATATGTAATATCAAGCAGCAATGGGTGAAAGCATCTAGGACAAAGAGCTGGAAGTCAGCTTACTGGAAAAAACCTGTATGAAATCTGATGTAATTTAGCACTGGTTTGTTAAAAAATTGGTAAACTAAAATTTGGCAAAAGAAGAAGGAAGAAGAATTGTGCTCGGAAACGTACTGGGAGCCAATGTAGGTCTTTCAGGATTGGTGTTATATAGTCCCAGTTGCTGCTCCCAGTCACCAGCCTAGCTGCCACATTCTGGACAAGTTGCAGTTTCTGAGTTGCAGAAGTCCAAGTGGGAGATAAGCAGGGCATGTACCACTCAGGTGAGACAGGGCGCAAGCAGGCAGGGTCTCAGCTGGTGTGCCAAATAGAGCTGGTAGAAAGCCGCACTGCATCGAGAATTAACCTGCACCTCCATGGACAGCTGTGAGTTGAAAATGACTCCCAGGCTGCACACCTGGCCCTTAAGTGGCGCAATTACCCCATTCAGGACCAGGGAGTCCCCCACACCTGTTTGCTCCCTGTTCCCTAGAAACAGTACTTCTGTCTTGTTGGGATTCAACCTCAATCCGTTTACTGCTATCCACCCACTGCGCCTGCTGGTTGGGGTTGATTGGAGTTGCTTCCCAACAGCAAACAGAGGACCGCAACTTCAGTTTCTCTATGCATACTTAAAAAACAACTTACCCTACCCTGCTTCTGCTTGTCCCGTGCAGAAGCAAGGAGATTTGTTAGCAGTGTGCTGGGAGGTGCTTGATCCTGATGCTGATACCCCGCAGATGTAAAGCTGGCCACTTGGTATAAGGCAGCTTCCTATGTTCGTGTTTAAATTAGCTTGCAAACCATGAGGACTAGAATCTTGTTTTATTTTTTTAGGTCAGTGGCAGAGGGTTTGCCTTGTACATAGGAAGTCCCTGGTTCAGTCCCCCAGGCGGGTCTGTTCTCTGCCTGAAGTCAATGGAGAGCTACTGCCATTCAGCATAGATAATACTGAGCTACATAGACCCAATGACCTGACTCGGCGTAAGGCAGCTTCTTAGAGCTCAGTGATAGAGCTTCTGCCTTGCATTTAGAAGGTCCCAAGTTCAATCCCTGGTATCTCCAAGCAGGACTGGGAAGGACCGCTGCCTGCCTTTCAGTGTAGCAGTACTGAGCTGAACAGACCAAAGGCCTGGGGTCACTATAAGGCAGATGTTGAAGCTGTTTTCATTCTCTGCCTTTGTGCCTCATTGCTTAGGTACCGCATCACTATTGGCAACAAGACCTGCGTCTTTGAGAAGGAGAATGACCCGTCCATCCTGCGTTCGCCTTCAGCGGGGAAGCTCATCCAGTACGTGGTGGAAGATGGAGGGCATGTCTTTGCTGGCCAGTGCTATGCCGAAATTGAGGTAAATCCCCCCTCCCTTTTGGCCCTGCTGGGTTCTTCCTTCTTCAAGGACCATCTGCGCTCCTCTGATCAGGTCAAACTTTTGTTGCTTGCGGCTAAAAGCATTTGCCAACAATTCAAACGGGGATCAAAAGCTATTCTAGGGATCATCTTGTGCAAATGGAAATGCTGAAAGTACAACACGGATATAACAAGCCAGAATCAAGGATAAAACCATAAGCAATGAAACGAAAGGACAGAAAAGCAATAAAATATTGGATGGGTGCAAATGGAAGCGGGAGGTAAACATTCCCCTGTGAGGAATGATTCCTTTTTGCAAAATGACTTGAGGAATGATGTGTACCGGTCCTGAATCTGTCGTTGGCAACCACTGTACATATTTGGAAATGCTTGGAGAAGCGTTTTTCTCCTTTGTTTCTATTCTCGGCGCATCCTCACTTTGCAGACTTCACCAGAAACACTCAGTATAAGCAACAGAATCCCAGAAGCCTGTATATCATGGCTTGATAATGATGTGTCTTTGATTAGGATTCAAGTAATAGGCAAACTGGGAGATGTGAAAATGAACTGGTTCCAGCGATTGCAAATGCAAACTTTTGCTAAATTTCTCCTTAGCACTTGAGGCCCTTGACTTTCTGTGGACGTTTCTGTCTAAGCATTTATGAAATAATTAAATATGGATTTTTGGAACTAGCTTTTTGGTAGTTCAGACTGTATGGGTGGTGGGGAGGGAGAGAAAGGAAAGCAAAATACCGTGGAAATCTGAACGCATTACTTTGTCTTTCCTCGCCTCCCAGGTGATGAAGATGGTGATGACTCTGACTGCCGTGGAGTCAGGCTGCATCCACTACGTGAAGCGGGCCGGTGCAGCGCTCGATCCCGGGTGCATCATTGCCAAACTGCAGCTTGATGACCCGAGCCGAGTTCAGCAGGTGAGGGGTTGGGGAGCAAAGGCAACTTTCGGAGGGCAGCCGAGAGTCAGTTCCTGAGAGCTGGTGCCGAAGGGCCGAGCCGATGTTGCCTGGGACAAATTCCAGCCGAAACAGGAAGTGTTTTAGTGCCCAGCAGGCCAGCTTGAGTAGGTGGGAACAGTTGGTGTAGTAGTTCAGGCCTGGCAATGATTTTTTATGGCTGTATCATGAAGCCGCATGCCTATCTTGGATTAAGGAATGGCTAGTATTAAAAAACACTGACATATTAGATCTAGAGGGCTTTAACAATCATTTTGGTTGGCATGCTTAGTTATGTTATGACAAGGCGAAAGTCCACAGAGACTTTACGAACCATGTAATAAGAAGGTCCCTATACACAGTCTGGTTAAAAAACAAGGGTATCCTGGAACAAAAGACACCCTGGTGGCTATCGCTGACGGAAGCCATGGCAGTTAGAAAGGTTAACATGATGAATGATTGGGTTACATATAAAGAAATTATCTGTGAAGAAGGTAACCAATTAGAACTCAAGAACTTTGAAGAAATAGAAAGTAGAGTGACCAATTGCTTACAGTACCACCAAATCCATGACCTATTCAAACAAGATAAAAAAGGGCTTTAATAAAGAACTTTCAAGGTTTGAAAGAGACTTGATATATAATGAAGATAAAACACTGTCTAAAATGTATAAAATTTTATTAGAATGGTCAGCGAAGGATGAGGAGGTAAAATCTGCCATGGTAAAGTGGGCAAGAGATTCAGGCCATAACAGACAACTCTCAGATTGGCAAAAACTGTGGAGGGAACATCTTAAGTTTACAGCTTGTTATTCTGTTAAGGAAAACTACAGGAAGGTCTTCTATCGCTGGTATATAACACCAAGGAAATTAGTGATGATGTACAAAAATAATTCAGGTCGATGCTGGAAATGTAAGGAGGCGGTGGGATTGATGTATCATATCTGGTGGACTTGTAAAAGAATGAAGGAATTTTGGGACTCAATTTATAACGAGTTGAAAAAGATGTTTAAAGTCTCATTCCAAAAAAAACCTGAGGCGTTTCTTTTAGGGAGATCCCAAGAGATCTAAAGAAATTATTTATGTACGCCACCGTGGCAGCGAGGGTTTTGATTGCACAGAATTGGAAAAGCGAAATGATACAATCGATAAAAGATTGGCAGATCAAACTGATTGAATATGCTGAGATGGATAAACTGACGGGACAGATAAGGGATCAAGCAAAACAAAATTTTTAGCAAAGATTGGAATACATTTAAACAATAACTGAAAGACCACTGGGGAGAATTAATTTTTTTGACTGGTTTAGATTAACTCTTGTAATGAGAAACATCAAAAAGTAGCAGATAAGCTGGTTACCAACAATCTGGATTCACAATGATAGGCATCCGGCCAAGAACTTCAAAAGAACCAAGTAAGAAGGGGAGGGAAGTCAGAAGTAATTAGAACATCAGTAAGTCGAATGACAAAGAATATATTTTTGTTTTTTCTTTATTATGATTTGGAGACATTTGTTTACCAACAAGAAATTGAAACTTCGTATTGTGATCTTCCATTAAGTAAGCATTTCTGTTGTAAAAAACCAATAAAGATGAATGGGGGGGGGGAGAATCTTTACAGCTATTCCATCCCACACCGCAGCCATGGTTTCCCCCTTGTGATCATTGTGTCTTTGTTGGTCTCCCAAGGCTGAGTTCCACACGGGGGCCTTGCCACAGATCCAGAGCACAGCGCTCCGGGGAGAAAAACTCCACCGCGTCTTCCACTATGTCCTCGACAACCTCGTGAATGTCATGAATGGATACTGCCTTCCAGAGCCCTTCTTTGGCTGCAAGGTACCACTGACACCCCCCCTCTCCTTCTCCCCCCTGTTGTGTGCAATGGGGGCTTCAAAACTTTGTGATACAAATGCCCCCATCCACTCCGTGTTCTTAACTGTCTCTCTACATTTAAATCCTCCCGTTGGAATAAGTGTTTGCATATTGTGATTTGCGTGTTATTTGCTATTTGCAAAACTCTTGCGGCAGCGTTTGAGTTTTTCGAGGGGCAGTGGGGGAAGAGTTTTGGGGAGGGGGTGCAGAAAATAATCTCTGAGAAGTTGCCTGCCTTTAAATTTCTGCTTATCTGTAAATGAATGTAAAAATCTAATACACATCTATTTTATTTGAAATACAGTATGGTTTTTGGAACTCTTAGCTTTCGAAGCCATGACGATTAAACAGGGTTTGAAACAGGCTCAGTGTATTTATTTTTTAATTATAAAATATAATGCATGCAACCTGTAAATCACACATAATATGTTCAGATGCTCGAAATAAATTATTACATGTGTCTCAAGGAATCTCTTACAATGTTGAGAATTGTCTCCAAGAATTCTCAAGCCATTTATTTTCATTGATACATAAATAATTATACATATCTAATATGTATTTATGGTCGGCATCCGTATGTGTTGGGAGACAATGGAAGAGTGCGCTTTCAGGGGTAACGTCAAACAGCTGGAGAGTTACAGCGTCTGCTGTTGCTGTAGAGACTGATACAGGAGAGACCTGTTTTATTGCAGTGGGGGCAGTGGAAGGCATCCGGTTGTGCTGCTACAGATGCACCATGGCGTTTCTCCGTTTATTTATTTTATTAGAAATACAGTTCCTGCTTTGGGAAGCACAACAAACAGGTTTTGAAACGGATTTTTATTTGTAATATGTTTTACAGCCAGCTGGGCGGGGTATAAAAATGATGATGATGATGATTTATTTAAACTACAAAACACGGTGCATACAATCTGTAAACCACACATAAAACACTGACATGCTGAACATAAATTTCTACATATATTTATAATCAAAATCTCTATGCAGCTTCCAATGTTCCTCTTCTCTTCCCCCCACCTTTTAAAAACCAGAAGAAATATCCTTCATCTTCCTTCCTCCTTTTCTTTTTTTGAATCCAGCTGAAAGACTGGGTCGAGCGGTTAATGAAGACCCTCCGAGATCCCTCCTTGCCTCTCCTGGAACTTCAGGACATCATGACGAGCGTTTCCGGGAGGATCCCTCCCAACGTGGAGAAATCCATCAAAAAGGAAATGGCCCAGTATGCCAGCAACATCACTTCCGTCCTCTGCCAGTTTCCCAGCCAGCAGGTAAGCGGGGAAAGTACTTTGCCGTGCGGAAGAACGAGCAGGAGGGGCATTTGTTTTGGGATGCTGGGTGGAATGGGACTTGCCAAGAGAGGGTCAGGGCGATGTCCAAAATGGCGTATGTACATTATTTAGATTACAATTACTCTATATCTTGTCTTTCTTCTGTTGTGGAACTCAAGGCACTATATCTGGGTGGTGTCCCATCCAGGCACTGATCAGGCCAAGACCTGCTTAACTTGAGCCTCGTGCTTTTGGACTCAAGGGCGGGGAATGTTTCTCAGCCCAAGGGATGTGTTCCCTTCCAAGGGGGCGCTTGCCAGTGCTGGGCGGAGCCAGACTGAAAAGTGGCCAGGGCCACTCATGCAAATTTTTCCATGTGTACAGCAGGCTAGTTTAACATACATTCACATGCCCCTTTGTCTCCTCCACCCATGCAAGCAAGAGACAATGTCAGAGTTCAAGAATGCATTCCAGCCAAGCAAAAGCCCTGGAGGAGGGTGCAGAGTAGGGCCTGTGACAGGTGTGGCCTTGGGAGAGATCCAAAGGCCATTTAACGAGGCCCGGGGCCCCGCATTCGAATCATGGTTCCCCATCCCTGTTTTCACGCTTCTCTCCTTCCCTCCCCCAGA